ACATGACAGGGACGTGCAAACTGTATTTCCAACAGCGAAAATGGCATTCAAATAATGAGTGCAGAAGATGTTTTGGACGAGGATACACTTGGATTCTCAGCCATACTTATTCAAGTCAGAGTATTGAGCCAAAGATAGTCAGCAAAGAAAAGCTGAGGCTGCAGCTGCATTAGCCGTGCAAGAAGATACAGCCAGCGGGGACCCTCCAGAACCTGAGCTGCTGAGAGCAAACACCGATTGCTGGTGCCTTTGCTTCGAATTTTTTCCGATGCCAATAGAAACTGAATCATTCTGCTGCAGTGGATTTCAGTGTGGGTAGTCACTGTTGGAAGCTGTTGCCAACACCAACCTAGAGAGCCTGTGTGTGTCTGTTACTGTGCATGAAAGTTTACACCTGACTTGGACACACTTGGTGTGCAGGAGACCTTCTTCAGCAGATAAACAGAAAAAGACAACAAAGACCAGCAGAGCCGAGAGGGCAGATGACCATTGATTGACTTTATTTTGTCAGAATCTCAAACACAATACAACCTGGTACATGTAGGCACTGCCGACACAGCTCCACGAGCAGAAGTCCACTTTCTTGGTCAGTGTAGCATGCAGTGAGGAATTTATTGCTTCAGTGGGCTACATTTATCAACACTGATTGGTCATCCATATAAAAGATGTCAAATTTTCCCTTTAATACCATATCATCATTGACATGTTTCAATGATACACTAAATCCCCTGATGCTAAACGGTGATATGATGACTGCCCATACTGATACATAGTGCGATTTCAGTCCATTAAAGTAAAGGTTTTGCGGAGTTAAAAGAGAAGATTGATACCACGCTTACTTCTGTCAGCCAAATATGAAGCTGGACTCACAAGATGGTTAGCTTCGCACAAAGACTGGAAACAGGGAGAAACAGCTAGCCTAGCTTGACCAGTGGTAACAACCAGCTCTCTAATTGCTGGACTGTTTCTGTTGCCTGGCAGCCCAAAATACTGTGCCTGGCCTAGAAATAGTCCCAATTCTAACCCCCCTAAAAATGGTGTTGCTACACTTTGGCTCTTGGACAGATTAAACAAATGAGACATACTGTGTTTTATAGTGAGTTAGAGGTGCTGGTAGGCTGATTTTTTTTTTTTATCTATTGACAGAGCCAGGCTAACTGTTTCCTCCTGTTCACAGCCTTTATGCAAAGCTAAGCTAACTAGCTCCTGGCTGTAGCTTCATACTGAGCATGCACAGATCAGAGTGGTATCTTCTCATCTAACTCTCTGCCAGAAAGTGACTGAGTGCATTTCTCAAAATATTGGCCCACTCCTTTATGTCATGTACTTTGTTCCCAGCTTTGCCTCACCACCAATATTGCAAATTTGAGGTGTCACACTTTCCATTCAGTTAATCAATTCACCACTATAAGTTAAATCTCTAAACCGCTGAGTGACTTTCTCTGGATCTCTGTGTGATGCAGGAAGAGTGGACAGGCGGTGTTGGTGCACTGTAAGATGGGTGTTTCTCGCTCTGCATCCACGGTGATCGCCTACGCCATGAAGCAGCAGCGCTGGCCTCTGGACGTGGCGTTGTCCTACGTTAGGGAGTGCCGGTCCATCGTCAAGCCCAACGAAGGCTTCATGAAGCAGCTGCAGACCTACAATGGCATTCTCAACGCAAGGTCAGGCATGGTGTTTCCAAAATGAGGAATGCCAACATCTAAAAATTACAAAACAACATCAAACATTTTTTTGAGTTTGCCGTTGTCTGTGGCTATTGAGGCTATATTGAGATGTGGGCTCGTGACGATTGTGTTGTGTGCCTTCATCATTCCAGCCAGCAGCGTCACAGCGCACTCTGGAGGCGAAAGTCAAGAGACCAAAGACAAAAGTCAATACGCAAGGAGGAGGGAGGGGAAGAAAAAAAGCCAGAGGAGGCAGAAGAGGAAGAAGAGGAGGAAGAGGAGGATGACGGACTTGAAGGTTCTGAGCAGGGTGACGAGGAGGATGCAGATAGTCTAGATGAAAAAGATATAGGTAGCCCAGATGAGAGAGATGATGCAGAGGTAACTCTTCACATCAATGATATCAGCATTTTAAATCCTGCTGATTTTGTTTTTTAATCTTCAACCCTTTTACCTTCCCCAACTCACCCAGGTGTTTGAAGAGCCCGCCCCCCCGCTTGAGACCAACCAGGGACCTGGGCAGACAGGGCCAGCTGGTGTCACTCCTGTTATCACAGTAAATGAACTAGAAAAGGTGAGCAGAGACAAATGTAGTTACACACATACGCTGTGTCTCTTATGTGGTTTTCCTTCACTAAATCACTGGATGTTCTTTTTCTTTCTCATCTCAAGGTCGCTCCGAGTGTTAATCGCAGCGGCAGGATGAACCTCTTCTCCCTCATGCAGTCCATCAGTGATGAGGATAGAGGGCGTGAACAGGTAAATGGAGCTGAGTGCCACTCTCTCTGTCATGTTGTTCATAGTTGATGTACGCACAAATTTGTTATTAGAGTCTTGTGATCTTGCCTGTATTTATTATACAAGTATCTTAGTTTAGCAGTAGTAGGGTTTCACTTTGAAGGGATCTTTTGAAGTGGGGTTGTATGAGGTACTCTTCATAGTCAGAATGTTACCTACAGTAGATGGTGGCCGGCACACCCTAAGTTTGGAGTACCACCACAAAGCTAAGCAATGTACCGCCTCTGACAGGGGCAGCAGAACCACCCAAAAAGAGGCCCACTTAAAAAAATCAGTACTGATTTATGTGTACACTGTATTTAGAATATTTTCAGTGCTTGACGTTGCTGTCAGACAGCCCTCTCTGACAGGGAAACCATTAATAGCTTCAGTTCCCCGTCTTTGCTCTCGTCAAAGCCACTAGACTCCATTGACAAAAACAGTCATTTTAATTTGCTGAGCATGGGAGCTGCTGGTCTACCACTGCCTCGATCAGTTAGTCTGTTTGTGTTATTGTGAATCCAGAATACCCCTTTCAAACACCAAAGTCACCAGTAACACAAACTAACTAAGTGATGGATGCAGCGACAGACCAGCAGCTCCTCTGTTCTGCAGTGTTAAATCACTGTTTTTCTCAATGGAGTGTGGCTTTGAAGAGAGCCTCGATAACAGCTTCAGTTCCCAGTCTGAAAGGGCTGTCTGACGGCAAGGTAAAATGAATAGGGTACACTTAAATGATATTGATTTTTCTAGGTAGGAACAATATGTTTTGCTGTGGTCCCCATTCACAGCAGAACATTGTTTAGCTTCTGCGCTTGTTCTCCTGCCTGCTTTTTCAAACTGGAAGCGTGCCAAGTGCCATCTACTGTAGAGTAATATAATGACCATGGATAAGTGCCTCATACAACCCCACTTAAAATAAATCTTAACTATACTCTTCAGGTTGAAAAACGGTCAAGGTTTCAGTTAGCTGCTGTATAAGCTACTCCTCTACTTCTCTCTTGCTTTCAAGCTGCCTGGGAGTCCGCGGCGGAGACGTAGCCTAGGACGACGGAGTCTCATTCACCAGAACGCATGTGTGGATGTTTCACCTGAACCACGAAGCCTGTCGGACGTTGGTCAAGGCAATCCCTAAAGTGATCAAGGAGGCAGAAGAGCAGGGAGTTACAGGGGAGGGAGGCGGACCCATAAAGGAGGCAAACAAATCCTGAAAACACCAGAAGGAAAGTGTGCGCTGGTAATATGCCAAGGTTTTTATACACTGATACGCTCTGGCTTTATATTTTAGATCACTGAAAGTTTTAATTTATGTTTTACTGCATATCTCTGCTCATGATTATTGAAGCTGATGTTCACTGCTGATAAAAGGATTTGTGCTGTAGTATTAACACACCAGTGAAAGCCAGGATATCTGAAGTCATTATCAGTGTATACTGTTGTATTATTATGGTTTTTTCAGTATTTTAAAAACATATCTGACCACATACAGATGTACCGGTCCCTCCCTCCATGTAGCGCCCCCTGCTCCCTCTTCCCTTCTTCAGCTCTCACATCACCACTCAAGAGATATCTATGCAATTACTGTCCTCCTTTCTTTCCCTCTGTAAATACAAGGCTGTATGCTGCCAACACCAGGTAGACAGTTTTAAATGTCTTTCATATTTTCACAAGACGTTCATTGTTGTAAGACAGGAGGATCTCACTGTATCTAAGCTGTGCATCATGGACCAAGTCAGGGCCAGTTTTATGGCAAAAGCCTGTTTGCCAAACATTGTTCTCCAATGTGCCAATGAATGACTATATTAAATCTAAAATCTTTATCATGTATGTTAAGAACCAATGTAACCCACTTTATTTTTATTCACCTTACTTAAACACCAGGGCTGTATGAGTGCCTTCACCCTGAGAATGAAATACGACTCTATGACTGGTGTTTTTAAATGTTTTTATTACGAGGTGATAGCTGTGTATTGTATGAATCTTGTACTGTTCCTCTGATTGCAGTATAAATATGACTTCCCAAAGTTTTGCATGTATGCATAACACCGAAGTATATATGTATCCACACATTATGCTGATGACCCGGGTGCATGTTATGTGTTTTTATACCAACATGTGAGAGCAAAGTGTTCAGGGTTTTCTTGTGTATTTATATTGACATTTAATGGATTGAGGTAAATTATTCAGAATACCATTTTCACACTTCTGATCACTGGATGCTGATATGGAATATTTTTTATTTCATGCTGGTGTTACCAGTGACCCAAGCTAAAGCTTCATTTAACCTGCATGCTCACTGTTAAAGAAAACATGCACTTTATAATCCCACACACACACACACACACACACACAGTTCCCACTGCCTGAGCCAACATCACACTGTACTATGAATAAAATGATCATTTATTATTTTTAAATCTTGTCCACATCTTGTTGTGTTAAGCTCTCTGCTGTCTGCACCTCACTCGTTTACGACAAGCACTATGAGTGGAAAAATAAACGATCATACTCAAAGCAAATGCTTTGTTTCTTTATTGAATAATTCACCAGAGTTGCTTCTGTTCAGAAACATTTTAATATCAAGACACAACAAAGCACAGGGACAAGCAGCCTTACTTTGAATACTCATTTTGTTTCAGTTTATATTGTCATTTACTGTATTGCTGGTCATCTTAATAAACAGTACAGTCATAATTCACAAGAGAGCAGAGAGTAAGGGGCACAGAGGACATTTTAACAAAACAGATGTGATAAATTCAGGTACCGATGTATTTCCTTCTGGGCTCACTGAGGGTGACTCCTCCCTCTTTCAGTGCTGTCTTGAAGGCTTGAACCTGTGAAAGAAAAAAACAAGGGAGACATAAACATGAAGCATGATGACTTTAAGAAGTATTTCACTGCTGGAAAATGTAAGCTTGGCTGTTTTGACACAGGACACAATATGGCAGCCGGCTAGTAACAAACAAAAAGTAAGATAAAATAGGTTTCTGAAAACATTTGAGGCGAGAACTAGTTCCTGCAGTAACAGAATCTTGGTTCATATGAAATCAGCGCTACTTTATTTTACTGTTTGATCTCAGTTTTGTTTGTAGCCCACGTTTTCACTGTGCAGAAAACAGTATGGCGCCCACTTCCTGTTCACAAACTTCTGTATAACAGCTAAACAGTACACTGAAATATGTTTCTGAGGACTTTTTTGATCTGAGAGAGTGAAAGAGAGAGGAGGGACACTCTTGATCTGCTTCTATACTACTGTCTCAATGATGGCGGGCAAACAAAAATGCGCAAGTACAATCTGTAGTTCTAGCAACAGCCCTAGAGCCAGCAAAAATTCGCTGGATGATGACCAGGGAGATCTGGCCGCTGGTAAGATGGAGGGAGGTTTACCACACTTCACTTACACCTACTACCCACATTATTATAATACAAAACTGGATGTAAATCGGCAAAGTATCCCTTTAAAAGGGAAAAAAAGACACACAAATCAGTTGTCTAGCAGCAGTTGGTGCTGCATGCACTCACAGCTTCAGAGCGGTACGTCCAGGGAATCTCCCTGTACACCATCCTCGTGATCCCAGCCTGCTGACAACGCTGTGCCAGCACCTCGCCCACAGCCTGACACGCTGCCACGCATTTTGTGGAAGCCAGCTCCTTCCTCAGTGCCCACTCTCTGGTGGAACACGAAAGCACCGGGTCAGGAGAGCTTCTGGAGAACACGTGTGCTGTCACAAACTGTTGGCTGCGAGAAAACTCCAACCTGAGAGGATAAGAGACATAAACATAATAAAAGAGAGGTGAGGGAGCAGGAGGGAAATAGGGAATTTAGATCTGTCTGGTAAAAGTGAATTTGATCAGTTGTCAGTGTTTGGTCAGTGTTTTTTTTATGTCCTCAGGTCTCCCTTGAAAATAAGATCTTTGCGTGGGACTTGGGTGATTAAATTAGGGGCGTATATAGAGGTGTACACGCACAGTCACAGTCAGTATGAACATGAGCATGGTGCATATACTGCCACACTGAGCTGCCTCTGATTCTGTGCACTCACAGTTGAATACAGAGTAAAGAAGAACAATAAAACTGTACAGCAGAGGTGTGGACGCGAGTCACATGAATTGGACTCAAATCCGACTCGAGTCACGAATTTGATCACTTTTTACTCAACTTGACAAAATCAAAAAAGACTCGTAACTCAACTTGAACTTAAACACCGATGACTTGTGACCTCACTTGCACTTGAGCCTTTTGTCTTGAAAATATTTGATAACTTTCACCGAACCTAAAGATTAAGAAGTGTGTTAATATTTAACTTAAAAGGGAGAATAGTCTTTCAGAAAATGTCTTACAAATCTTTGGAGAGAACGTACTAGACATTTTTACCAATATGAGATAACTAAATAAGAAAGGACAGGACAGAAACATACAAGATTCATTCTGTTGTGGTATTAGTTAATTGTGCCATATAGTGTGAAGGTGCAATGTCAGCATTACTTTTTTGATGACTGAGTTCAGCTGCATGATTTTTGTAAATTTTAATATATTATTGTGTGGTCATGAGCTTCGGGTAGTGACCAAAAGAATGAGATAGTGGACACAAGCAGCCGAAACCAATGTCCTCCGGAGGGTGACTGGGCTCAGCCTTAGAAATGGGGTGAGGAGCTCAGAGATCCGGAGGGAGCTCAGAGTAAAGCCGCCGCTTCTTCACATTGAAAGCGACCAGTTGAGGTGGTTCTGCCTCCTGTTCTGTATCATAGGCAGCGTTGCTTGCTTGAAGTTTCTTGAAGACGTTTCACCTCTCATCCAAGAGGCTTCTTCAGCTCTAACAGACTGGTGCGGAGTCGCTGGCTTTAAACTCTGTGTCTGTGGAGGGATACCAGGACTGCATTGTAGGTGGGTGATAAGTGGTGACGAAGGCCACCTCCTCTGTTTAACGACGGTTGTTACAATTAGACATAGACGGCTTCTATCACGTGTCTTTCGAACCATCCGTCTTCTCTGGACAACATGTGAACATCGCTGTACTCAAAAGAGTGTCCCTTCTCCTTTAGATGTACATGGGCAGCTCAGTCTTGGCGTTGACTTAAAGAGCTGGCTCTCCTGTGTTTGTGGAGTGGTTGTTTTGTTTTACCAATGTTCAAGTCAGCAAGTCCAGTTGCTATGACATAGCACCTACGACTACAATGACCTGAATGACTGAGAATGTTCACCAACACGTGCCTCCCATTAAAGGTTTTCGGGGCATGTCCAACTGGTAGGAGCCCCGGGGTAGACCCAAAACATGCTGGAGGGTTTAAATATCTCATCTCGGCTGGGAACGGCTCAGTAACCCCAAGGAGGAGCAACCCAGCCCCGAAAAAGCCAACAGAAGTGGATGGATGGATGGATGGATGTAATTGTTCTGTTGTTAAAATGGCATTACATTTGGTGAAGAGTGCAGTGTGACTTGTTTAGGACTTGAGCTATGCCTGTCTTGACTTGGGACTCTAGTGCAAAGACTTGAGACTCACATGTAAATTGCAAAACAATGACTTGGTCCAATCTCTGCTTTACAGCATGATCACATTTATCTGTCTCACATATGTAACTGACAGTCGTTGTGTGGCAGTGTGATGGTCATCTATTTAACACTCGATATTACATAACAGCTATCATGAAGCAGCTTTATCCCAAAACACACACACCTGTGGTAAAACTCCCGGCGAGGCCAGGACGTCTTCCAGCCCCGGTCCTTCACAGCCAGAGCCATCTGCTCCAGGTTCCGGGGGTTTCTGTTCACGAAGGTCGGGTTCACGGCTTCATTTTCGTCCGCGCGGGGCTCCTCCTCCGGCGGAGAGGCGAGCTGACTCAGACACCGAGCTGACCCCACACAACAGGGCACAGATAAACTCAACACCAGTATGTAACGTTAGGTAGCTCCAAACTGAGTAGTTTACAGAATATAACACAGCTGTGATGGAAATAGTTTCACTTACCCGTCTGGTTTGTGGCCACAGTTTGACGACATCGTTGGATTTGACCTAACAACAGCCGCACACTACGGCTAATGTCGCTCAGAGCCATCTCCTCCTCCTCAGCTGGGCTCACCTCATAAATACAAAGTCCAGTCAACGATTACTATCAACGCTAAGTCCTTAAAAACACGAAAACATACCAACTCTAGCTATTTGATAGGTTTTCACCGTGACATGTGCAGCGCCATTTTTGACATTCAGACAACATCCGGTTCACTTGGTGCTCATTTAGAAGCAGCACTGACAGAAACAAACGCCAGCGCTTCAGAAAGTTCCGCTTACATGTCTTTTGTCTTTTTTTTAACTTCCTTTATTCAATCACCATTAAATTATACAAGAGCAATTAGTTACAAGAAAAACAAACAACAAAAGGGGTACATATATACTTACAAATTAAAAAGAGGTTTTTAATGCCTTGTAAATAACCGTAGTCCCGATGGCTTTCTGATTTTCCAGTCCTTTTGTTGGTGTTTCAAAGTACGTTTCACTTCATGCTTAAAGTGATGGATCTTAGATTTCCTTTCAGACCATTTACATTTATGGATGTAAAACCCATCATAAAAAATGATAAGATTCAAAACAGACATGACCTCTGTCCAGATATTGTTTCCATTGTAAAAAAAAAAAAAAAAACCTCTTCCCTGTGAATTAATCTTAGTTCCACATAACATCAAAAACATATTCAACGTATTTTACATAAATGCATCCATAAATGAATGTTAAATTGTTTCTGTGCCACTTTTACAGAACACAGGATTCAGAAAGATCATTTCTATATATGTTTTGAGTGATTTGTTGGATAGATTAAGTGTATAATTTTAAGATACACTACACTAACCTTATTGTTGATGAAATATTTGTTACAGTAAGTCCAGATGAATTTCCAGTTAATGGTGTCAAAGTGACTATTCACATGGCGTTACCAGTGAGAAGTTGTAGTGTAGTGCATCACGTCTCTAAAAATGGTATTACATCCTTTATGTTGGTGCAATTGATCAAAACATGTCTTACACATTGACTGTTCATCAGACATACTGCCTTCCTGCAGCAACTTAAAAAAAACATGTAGGTACTGCATCAGTTACTATGCTATATTCTTGTGCAGGTATCTGCCTACATGTCTTCATACCAGAATAAAAATTGTGCTTTTCTATAAATTTTTGCCAATTTACTCTACATCAACTTGTACTTTACTATTTTATTTTACAGTAATACGTCACTACATTTCAGAGGTCATTTTTACTCCGCTACATTTATCTGAGAGGTACAGCAAATTCACAGATTTTACATACAGAACATGTGATCATCTTAAAAATTTGATGTATTATTAGACATGAACACCCAAATAGTTTAAAGGGTATTTAAAAAGAGGGCTTTTTGTCATCGTTTTGTCAATAAAATGTCAGAATATAGTGAAACATGCCCTGTGTAATTTCCCAGAGACTAAGGTAACGTCTTGAAATTGTATGTTTGATCTGATCAACAGTCCAAGAATCAAAACAGATTCAGTTTATTATCATGTATGACAAAGAAAAACATCAAATTCTCACATGAAACCAGTAAATGTTTGGCTTTTTTCTTAAAATTGCAAAATCTGTTATATTACTAATAATTCCAAATCAGTTATTCGGTCATCGAGTAGTTGCCAATTAATTTTCTGTCACTGACTAATCAACTTAACATTGCAGCTCCAGTTAAATAAGACCTGGGTCAGCTACATTCAAATGTTGGTAACTGTGACTGAATCAGTGATGTCATACATATATGTCTGCCTGATTGGCAGCGTTGGTGAGTTACTAGTCACATGTAACAGTGTTAAGAGTTATGTTTTATATTACAAAATGAACAGGCTATAATTGTACTCTGTCAGTTACTAAGAAAAAATATGTCATTTGATTATAGTTACTTAAGAAAATGTTGGTGATTACAAAGGGGTTACATCCAAATATATTCTTCACAGGAAAAAAACGTATAAGAGTATAGGTAGAATGTAACATTGATTTTGTTGCTTTGCACCTTTTTAACATGCAGGGATTCCTTCTTTTGGCATATTTCTGGACAAGGTGGGGCAACAAAGCCACTGGGACATACAGTACAGGCCAAAAGTTTGGACACACCTTCTCATTCAGTGCGTTTTCTTTATTTTCATGACTATTTACATTGTAGATTCTCACTGAAGGCATCAAAACTATGAATGAACACATGTGGAGTTATGTACTTAACAAAAAAAGGTGAAATAACTGAAAACATGTTTTATATTCTAGTTTCTTCAAAATAGCCACCCTTTGCTCTGATTACTGCTTTGCACACTCTTGGCATTCTCTCCATGAGCTTCAAGAGGTAGTCACCTGAAATGGTTTTCCAACAGTCTTGAAGGAGTTCCCAGAGGTGTTTAGCACTTGTTGGCCCCTTTGCCTTCACTCTGCGGTCCAGCTCACCCCAAACCATCTCGATTGGGTTCAGGTCCGGTGACTGTGGAGGCCAGGTCATCTGCCGCAGCACTCCATCACTCTCCTTCTTGGTCAAATAGCCCTTACACAGCCTGGAGGTGTGTTTGGGGTCATTGTCCTGTTGAAAAATAAATGATCGTCCAACTAAACGCAAACCGGATGGGATGGCATGTCGCTGCAGGATGCTGTGGTAGCCATGCTGGTTCAGTGTGCCTTCAATTTTGAATAAATCCCCAACAGTGTCACCAGCAAAACACCCCCACACCATCACACCTCCTCCTCCATGCTTCACAGTGGGAACCAGGCATGTGGAATCCATCCGTTCACCTTTTCTGCGTCTCACAAAGACACGGCGGTTGGAACCAAAGATCTCAAATTTGGACTCATCAGACCAAAGCACAGATTTCCACTGGTCTAATGTCCATTCCTTGTGTTTCTTGGCCCAAACAAATCTCTTCTGCTTGTTGCCTCTCCTTAGCAGTGGTTTCCTAGCAGCTATTTGACCATGAAGGCCTGATTGGCGCAGTCTCCTCTTAACAGTTGTTCTAGAGATGGGTCTGCTGCTAGAACTCTGTGTGGCATTCATCTGGTCTCTGATCTGAGCTGCTGTTAACTTGCGATTTCTGAGGCTGGTGACTCGGATGAACTTATCCTCAGAAGCAGAGGTGACTCTTGGTCTTCCTTTCCTGGGTCGGTCCTCATGTGTGCCAGTTTCGTTGTAGCGCTTGATGGTTTTTGCGACTCCACTTGGGGACACATTTAAAGTTTTTGCAATTTTCCGGACTGACTGACCTTCATTTCTTAAAGTAATGATGGCCACTCGTTTTTCTTTAGTTAGCTGATTGGTTCTTGCCATAATATGAATTTTAACAGTTGTCCAATAGGGCTGTCGGCTGTGTATTAACCTGACTTCTGCACAACACAACTGATGGTCCCAACCCCATTGATAAAGCAAGAAATTCCACTAATTAACCCTGATAAGGCACACCTGTGAAGTGGAAACCATTTCAGGTGACTACCTCTTGAAGCTCATGGAGAGAATGCCAAGAGTGTGCAAAGCAGTAATCAGAGCAAAGGGTGGCTATTTTGAAGAAACTAGAATATAAAACATGTTTTCAGTTATTTCACCTTTTTTTGTTAAGTACATAACTCCACATGTGTTCATTCATAGTTTTGATGCCTTCAGTGAGAATCTACAATGTAAATAGTCATGAAAATAAAGAAAACGCATTGAATGAGAAGGTGTGTCCAAACTTTTGGCCTGTACTGTATTTGACTGCAACATTTTAGGCTATGCACTTATGTTTTTAGGACTTCTCAGCTGTATTGCCCAGTTAAAAACATTTTTTAGAAAAGAAAATTAAAAGTGATCACATGTAATAAATCACATTACTTTGATTAAGTAATTAAAATAGCTACATCTCTTGCATTTTAACAGGGTAACAGTTCATCTGTAACCTCTTATATTTCTAGAGTAACCTTCCCAACACTGTTAATAGGTACTTTTTGAATGCAAGATTTCTTACTTGCAATGGTCTGGAGTTACTGGAATGAACCCTTGTGTTAACACTTAAGTAAAGGATTTGAATACTTCCCCCTTCACTGGTTAACTGGCAAATTAATTATACATACATATCAAAATACTTGTAGCATGTTCAGTGAATGAGACAATACGATTAAACAAGAGAATCATATTTAATTTCAGTTCAAATTTGATCCATTTTACAGTGCAAACCAGCAGGAAAAAAGAGAAATGTCCGGCCAGAGTCTTGTTCAGAATGCTGGCATGATGATGAAAGTTATGATCTGTCCAAAAGACTTAATGGATAAACAAGCCGCAGCCCCTGTAAGGCACATGAAAAACTTTTACTACCAATAAGTACCTGTTTTGTGTTATGTGTGTGTGCGCATACGGAAGACATGACAATGAGGAAAAAGAATCTTTGGCTCATGAAAATCATTCAGATAATTCCCTGTTATCATTTGGAGAATCCTACAGGGCTGGCTTATCAAAGCACAATCCAACAGTTCAACAATCATAAGTTCCCTTAAACTGCAGAACAGATTCATTCACCGGTGTGTTTTCCCTTTTCATAACTGATGTCTACAACACACGTTCATACAGTGAAAAGTACATGATTACTATGTTTTTAGTGACCGACAGAGTAATTAGTAAACAGTACATAACACTGACAGTGAAAACAATTAGTAAGGGGATACAAAATTAGATTTTTTCATTTCATATAATGCAATTGTAATTCATTATTTTGGGACTCATTCTATTGCTGCAAAAATAACAGTCTTTACCATCGTGATCATTGTGCAAGTCAATTAAACTGTTTCATAGCCTGCAGGCAAAAGAGTACCATTGTTAAGACGGAGAGATGGTCATTCTGATGTTTGTAGTTGCAGTCCAAGTACTTAAGAGTATTCATAAGTTAACAAAACTGTGTGACAATCCTAAGTAAATGTTTGGCAATTCACAGAGCAGCTGATAAATTGATTATAGTTGAGAAAGAGAAAGGACTGAGCTTGTAGCCTGACCCGCTGTAGAACTTGTTCTGAAACTCCACCCTGTAAGAGAGAGAAAGTCAACATGCATCAATACAAACTATAATATATAATCTATTTTTGTCCAACCATCCCATTTCTCTACATCTGAATACAATATACAAAAATATAAAAATAAATGTGAACATTCATGGTCATAAAATGGATGGTTTGGTGAATCTTTTCTGTAGCACCACCATCAGGCGAACACTTCCACTTACACACAAT